TTATCGAAAAGGATGGTCACACCAGTCCAAAACCCACGCGTGAAGTGCCGATGGTTAGGAGCATCGTGGTGACGATCGTCCCTTATCCAATTTCCAACGGCATCAAGCCCCCCGCATGTGAGTGACCCTAACGGTGTCAAGCTCCTCATGCGAAGGACCACCGGGGGAGGAAGGTCTTCGTTTGTTGCTCCGAAGAACATCTTCCGCACCTCAACATGGATACGATACCAAGCACTGTCCTCAGCACGTAGGGCTCCTCAGGGTTCTTCCAGATGCGCTTGACCTGGTGTATACTTGGCTTCCTGAGACCCCTTTGAATGTGCTCGAGATCAGCAACGAGATAGTCGCCCTTCCACAGGCCCCCTGGTTCTAACCGATAGCCCAGAAATAGGCCTGGCTTGGACGATGGGGCGAACTTTGGATCTTCCTCTATCTTGATGAAGTCCCGCTCTTTCTTTTCGGCGGGCAGGGCAGTAGTGACGCTTGTCTCTTCAACCTCTACCTCATCAGTGAGAACAAAGTCCGGTTCGTCATTGCATTCGGGCTCGTACTCCTCGTTATCATAGATCTCGGCCTCGTCCTCATCGATCTGATCGAAATCACAGTCGAAATGAGTTTCTCCAGTCCATTCGTGGTTACCTCCACGGTCGTTTTCGGCCTGGAGCCAGTTTTCGTCAACAACGAATTCGGTCGATCCGTCCAGATAGTTGAGGACTGTGCTCCGCCTCCTGCCAAGGTCTTTGATCTTGACTGGACAGCTCGTCCCTATCGGGATAAAGAGCTCGGTTCGCGCTTCAACGTGGACGCGAGTGAGAACCTTCTCGTCTTCATTTGCGATCCAGTGGTCTCCTCCTTCATCAACGTCCTCTGAGTCGATCTTTCCAGCATGTCTGAAGTCGTTTTGGGCGTTTTGAACCCCCCCCTTTCTATCCCTGCGAATCTTGGGAGCAATGGGGTAGAAGTCGACCAGACAACCAAACGGCAGAATGACTCCGCTGAAGTTCCCGTCACCGTGGCGTCGCATCCACGGTGATCCCTCACCGCGATTTTCAATATTCCTTGCCATGGAAAAATGCCTAACGGCAAATGGCCACCATCGAGGTTCAAATCCAGCTTGACGCAGGAGCACACGTGCCCCATGAAGAACGAGCTTAACCTTGTTCTCGATCAGGCCATTGGTCTTGGGCATGCCCGGTGTAGAAAGCCGGTGCAATGCTCCAAGCGTAGTGACAGCATTCTTCAGCTCTGGGGCCTGGTCGCTGTACACTAACTTCAGAGTTTGCCCCCCTGCAAACCTGCGAAATGCCTCCAGCGTATTGCTACGGGATCTGGATTGCACAGGAAGGACTTCGAGGTAGTCAGTAGCGAGGTCATAGAACACTATCGCGTCTGCTTCGCCATGAAAGCCTCGATCCTTCAATCCTCGCAACACCATCGTGTCAGCGGTGGTTAGGTCCCCGAAACTTACCACGTCATGCGCAGCAGCACCACCTTTGCGGCGAAGCTTGACATTCTCCATTTTCGCACGCTGGCAGTGCGGGCAATAGGGGTTCTTCGGGAGATGCGTAAGCATATGGCGAAGCGTCTTAGCATCTGCCCGCCACTCAGCCTCTGTGCGTAGCCCGGAGAGAAAGTTTATCTCGACAATGTCACCATCGTCCCCTTCCCCTGGGCCAGGAAAAGGTGGTGAGTGGCTATCGCCCTCACCCCCCTGTTCTGCCTCTCCGGGAAGAGCAACGGTCTCGCACTTGACCTGAAACCACGTTTCACCCGTCCAAGGGACATCAGATGCTATCGCATGCTGATCTCTTTCGGATAATTCCCACAGACTATCAACCAGCACCTCATGGGTAACCCCATTTCGGTGAACGACAGTTTTCCTGTAGTTGTCCAATCAATCAACCCTATCGGGAGCCTGGCCTCATCATCGGAGTGACCTGTCTGTCGACACTTGAGACTGGTCAACTCAGCAATCTTGAAGGTCTGGTCGTCTTCGACCCCAGTCTGCAGATGGTTCAGCAGGAGCTTCAAGATCTGCCTTCCCTTGATTCCCTGAGGAGGGATCATATTCTGGGCGGCTTCTGTTGGGCGATTCATTTTATCCCTAACGGCCCTCGTCTTGATGCAATCCCTGATAGCAGTTGTGAAGTTGGAATCCAACACCGGGTACTTGCATGGCCCTCCAAGAGCGTCATAGTCGAGCCTTTCAGTCTCTGAAATCCACGCTAACGCGTAGTCAGAGTCGAAGCTGAAAGCGTTCCTGACCCTCTCCTTTACCTCGGAAATCCATTCCCGAAGCTTATCAGCGGTCGGTTCGGGAGGCAACGTGATAGTGTTGCACTTGTGATGGTACCGATCCTTATCGGCAACAGTCGAAATCAGGGCCCCTATCGGGGTACATGACGTGATCCTGCAGCTCTCACACAACCTAGCTGGCGGCGGACAGCACACGTCGCAAGCCCTCATTCCGCAACCAACACATGGGACCAGAGGAGGGCCAGTTATGGGGACTCTGAGGCCACATTTGGTGCACTTGTCCCTCCCGTCATCTCCCCTGATTGATTCAGGAAGAAGACCGCCATCTCCTGGCCTACCGGCCCCATTGACACTGTAGCCATGACACGGACTCGCTCCGGGGTTACTGGCATGCCCAATGCTCGCAGGATAACCCGGAGCAACGCCTTGCTGGCTAACGCCGGCCCCGACGCCTTGATTGTGGACACCACCCCCAAAGGCTGGACCATAGAAACTCGAACCACATTGGTTGTTCCCAGCTCCATGAGAGTCAGCAGCACTACCATAGAACCCGGGTGCTCCACCAGGGTATCCCCCGGTTGGAGCCCCACCACTCGGACCGCCTGGAGGTCCAGCGAGACCTTGGCCTCCGCCGGGATGTCCAGGACCTGGTGGTGGAAATGGAGCATGTCCATGACCACCGCTTCCGCCCCCACCTTGGCCGGGTGGTCCGCCTTGCCCACCTCCCCCCCCAGGAGGAGGAGGAGGGGGCGGTCCAGCTTCAGCACGTTCACGCCGAATATTGCAGCGCGCACATCGCTCGAGGCCGTCACTGCCAAAATGACTGTGATCCTCGCAGACGTGGTTCCCACACTCCGTGCAGGTATACATGGAGACCTCCTGGGCACTTTTACGACATGCCCAACATTTCATCTTCAAGAAGTGACAATTGCAACAGTCCCCATCGTCGCCCCGGCAAAGCCTGCAAAACTCACGATTGCGCGTAGCACACGAGAATTCAGCGTCCGGGTGCCTACGGTCGTTGGGATCATCGAGGGCACAGATCTTTGGTGCACCTGGGCCACCGGTGCCGGGAGCTCCTCTTGCGGCCGGTGCCGAGGCCTGTCCACGATCGGATGGAGTTCTGGTCCCTGCGGCCTGTCCTCAAACTCATCCGATACCTGCGATTCACCTGGAACAAGAGATCTCGGGGGTCGGATCGGCATGGCCTCCGGGTCGTCCGAATGAGGGCGGGCCATGTTCATCGCCATGCTGATGAAGTCAAACTGTCCGTGCCTGTGACCTGATTCAGAGCCGCTCCTATCGGAGCGAACCCTTCGTGTTTGCTCATCATCAGTGGCCTGACGGAAAATGCGATCGTCTCCATCGTCGGTGTACCTGCCACGGCTCCTGGGTGTGTCCCTACCGGGATCTTCACCCCTGCGGTCCTGACCTGCCGAACCTGCTTCGAAATCCTCGTAGTCGTA